CGACTACAGCAATATTAGCCTGCATTTGTCCGTTTCATGTGTCAATACAGTCAGATGATGCCAGTTTCAGACTAATGTCTGTTCATTTGGCCTTAAAGAGGACAAGCCCAGCAGCAGCAGTCGTTTTAGTGGCTGTCTTTTCAAAAAGGAGGAGTGATCAGTTCAGTTTAAGCCGAAGCTTTAATGGCAGCTCATTCATCAGAGGTCCCTCTGAGGAGAGCATCAGCACACACTGACACATACTAAAACACTCGCAGTAAACACTCTACTTTACACACACACACACACACACACACACACATGTTGGTTTTTATGATAAACATGCACACACACACACACACACACACACACACACACACAAAACACAACGTGTTAATGTAAATAAACTAGCCTATATACAGAAAAAAAATCTAATGTATTTTTAAATATATTTCACAACCTAAAAAAAATGACCAAAAACATATATTTGCTAAAAAAGGTTTCAAAATATAGTCAAGGAAAAGTACATTTTCTACTCATATATTTTTTACCCTTTTTTTTTGTATTTAAAAAAAAAAAAATTTATACATTTAAAATATATTTTCTGAAATATCCACCTTATTTTTCCCGTAAGAGCGGGTGCAGCCATTTGTAAATTTAATGTGTCTGGCTTCCACTTCCAGCTATTTTTAGCTTTACTAAACAGCTCGTTTTGCTGCTTGATATTGCAAACTGGTGTTTCTTACCATTTTATTTTAATGTATTGCCTTAATTATAAAAACACTGGGTTGTAGCACAAACAGTTTTACCTTTTATTGCACGTTGTTATTCTTCTCGATATTTCCCTACAGCGGCTACTGAACCGGAAGTCTTGCACATTCACAGAAAACAGCTAACTTCCGCTTTGAAAAATAAGATAATAAGACACAAAAAATGGCCAAAAAAAATATAGGTAGAAAATATATTTACGTAAATATATTTTCTACCTATATATTTTTTGGGGCCATTTGTATATTTTTGAAAATATATTTAAAATGTGAGACTGGAGATGTATTTTCCTGCCCCTGAAATACATTTAGAAATATATTTTGGTTGAAACTAATATTTTCTATTTCAAAAATATATTTCATTGAGTTTCACTATTTGCAACATATATTTAGCATATATTTCAGCCAATATATACAGTATATATTTGCCTTATAGTTGCACATGCACACTGAATACTCACATCATGTGTTACTGTATATAAGTGCATCCTATTCTAATAACAATATTTTTCATTCAAGATATGGCATTTCAAAGGATTAAAACAACAGAAAAGTTATTTATCACACACACAAAGCGAAATGGCACTCGTAAACAACTTTATGAAAGTGAAAATGACAAATGAGACGTGCTACAGCCTCATGGACATCACAGGCTTGCGGTGGCGTCTGCAAGCGCACATCAAATGTGTCATTTGGGACAGAGCCTAGAGTGTGTGGGAGGAGGACAGGCTGAAGTGAGACGACCTGTTATAATGAAAACACTTCCAGCTGCACTTTAGTGTGGACAAAACCTGAAACTACTTCACAGCATGGCTGTAACCAGGGTTTGACCATTAGTGAGGTCTGGGGTGGGGTTAAGAATAGTGCTATAGTAACCCCTGCAAATACAACTCATTATGCACACTAAACACTTTAAAAGAGACCGTGATCATTTTCATTCCACGCACGCTAAACATTCTTGCAAACTGTCTAAACTTAATTATACATGCAGATGCTCATATGAGGAGTTTTAAATGGCAAATTAGTCATTCAGAGAACAAACTTTATTTTCTAAAATGAAAAATGTACCGAGGACCGGACCTCAAAGCTGGCTCAGTAGAAAATGATTCAACAGCTTATTTCAGCCAATCAGAATCAAATGTTGGAGAGTGCTGCGGTTTAAGACAGGATCTGTTTTCTTCACTAACGTTCACTCCTCACGCAGTGAGCACTACAGCATCTATGTGGGCTAAACTGTGCATCATTTATCACTGTTTTGGCACAAAATGCATTCAGTGACTACATCTGTCAAATTACATGAACTGTTTTGACACTCAGACTCAAAAAACAACAAAACTCCATGTACCTGCAGGCCAATTTGCATACATTTTTTTGAAATCGTTGATTAAGTTTAAAACCTAATTCAAAACTGAATAAGACAGCAATAGGCTGCATTTCTACAATAATACTATATTTGCATAGATTCTAAATCTAAAAAATGAAATACTTTAAATGCAATAAGATGTATCTGAAAACCTACACGTGTTAATCTTTCATAAGCATCAACTGAATTCAAAAGGGGAAACTTGGGAATTATTTTGGACTGTAACTTTATACGGCAGTAAATTCTAAATAGTAGAGTGTGTCATTCTTGTTTTTAAAAAAAAAAAGAAAACATTGTATATGCTACCAGTTATTGATGTTTTTAGGTCTGTGTTTTATGAGTGACAAAGTACGTGTGTTGGTGGATAATCTTTACTAGTGTTAAAGAAGAATGAGTTGATTTGAGACGTGTGTGCAGGGTTTACTAGTTTTAGTGCAGTTTTACTGTGAAATTAACTGCTGTGCCAAGCTGAAGGTTGATTATGAGAAATGTGTAAACAGTTTTGAAAAAGTGAGAAATGTGTCCTATAAACAAAAACAAAACAAAACAAGCAACATCCTCCACTAATCACACACACAAATCCACACTAAATACTATCCTCATTTCTCAACATTTTGATCGTATTCGATGGCATTCAGACATTTTTAATTGTGACTTAAAGGGTTAGTTCACCCAAAAATGAAAATTAGCCCACAAATTACTCACCCCAGCTCCGGGCGGATGACGTATGAGGTCAGCGCTGCGCATGCGCCGGTCAGAAGTGATGAACGCGGAAACGCAGTGGAGAGACCAAAACAAAACACCAGTCACTAATTAGAAGTACAAAGTGAGGATTTGTAAAGAAGAATGTCGGAGGATTTCGATATAAGCCAAGAGGAGACTGGTTTTCCTTTGCTAAAGTAAGGAAACTTTGCTTCCTTTGCTCCTGTAAACAAATGTTGGTTTTCACGAGACTCACCGGCGCATGCGCAGCACTGAACTCATACGTCATGCTCCCGGAGCTGCTTCTGTGTACAACAGTGAGC